AGGGAATAGGATGGCATTTTTGGAAACCGCAGGATGAGAGGAAATGAGACTCCACTGTATTTTCCATCAACTCTTTTGTCTTACTATCGAGGGACTCCTTCTACTAGGTAGGCTATGAACACCTATGTAGAGCAAGGATTGAGAGCAATGCTTTTTGAAGGTTGAGAAAGTGCTCAGCATGGTTGTCCATCCTCCATGGACACTCCTCATCTCCACAGCTCCTCAGTGGGTGGGTCTGGTTATCCCCATTCTAATGGCAGCCACGCAGAGCAAATGATCCGGATAGGATGCAATGCAAGTACTGAACCCTAAAAGCCGCCTACAGTCATGAATATTCCCATATGAATTTCCTGTGGGGAATGGGTGAGAATTCATTCTGTGGTACAAGGGTATACCTGTGTGTACAGGGGTGGATTCAGTGAGTCCTGAGCAGTGCATAGCTTCAGGGCTGTAGAATCTGTCTGCATGCGTTCCGTAATGGCCGCACTTGTGTTCGCCCCAGATGTGAAGAATGTGTTGCTCCGTGGACTCGATAACATTTGGTAGGATCAGATTTTTAATGTTTTTCCTGGATGCTGCGGAATAGATGCTTCACTGTGGTTTTAATTTACAATTTCACTCTAATGAGTTTATGGTCTTTAAATGTTTCCTATTGACAGTTCAGGGTTGTGTTTGTAAATTACTTGTTTGTTATCTTTTGTCAATTCACCCTTCACCTTCTCAGATTTTCCGCTTCTGGTTGAGCTGTGTGTACAGTGCATACAGAGGTATCCGTCACTAAATTCATCCTAGATTTTAATCTCTCTATAATTACATAAATTCCAAATATCTTCCTACCACATGTAACGTGGATCTCCACTTTTTCACCGATACCTTTAAAGATAGCCTCATTGATGTAGAATTTGCATACTAAAATTCCTTAGAATAAACGGTACAGGTTGTTATACCTTAGTAAATTTATGTGATTGCCCAGCCATTGTGAGAATTCCAAATTATTTTTTATCAATCGAACCTTACCCCAGTTAAGTCAATCTTCACCAGCTTCCGAGCCCATTAAACAGCAATTGTTTTTTTTGTTTTGTTTGTTTTTAATTCTGCATTTTCTTGAGCTCTCGTGTGGCTAGAAGCATACAATATATCACCGTCCATTCTGCTTTCTTTCAGTTCATGTAGTGTGCTCCAGATTTACCCTCGATGCCAGTGGTCTAACCCTTTGACTGCTGAGCTCTAAGCTGCTGGAGAGTTATTCCATGTACTGCTTATCCACTTAATAACTGAAGACCATTTGGGTTCTTTCCAGATTTCATTATTATGAAGAATTTTGCTATGGACATTTTTGTATACATTTTGGGAGTCATATATTTTTATGCTGTACTTTGAGCCAATATGTCAGAGTGAGCTGCTAGTCTGTATGTTAATTCTAATGCTTACCTCTATGAGTCAGGGTTTTATAATGCAAGCCTGGCTGACTTGGACCTCTCTGTGGAGCCCAGACTAGCTTCAAATTGTAGCAATCCTCCTGTTTGTCTTCCAAGTGCTGAGAATGTGGGTTTGTACCACTATGTGCTTTTAACACCGAGAAAATATGTTAATTCAATGACAGAAATAATGGTATAGAGCATTTGCAAGCATGCACCGTGTTTCTGGCATCTGTGGCATTATAAATGGTGCGTTGCTTTGCCCTTTCTGTATTTTGGGTTCATGTGTGAGCACAGGCAGGCTTACTCTTTGGGTAGAGGAAAGAGGTAGGAAAAGTGTATTCATTGTCAGAAAGATGCTCACAGTATGCGCCATTCTTTCCGCACAAGGCCTAGACTGCAGAGGCCATGGTCAGGCATTTTAATAAGCTGGACAGCCATTTACCCATGCATTACAAAGCCTCAGTACACAGGAGCCATCGTGGGAAAGCACAAAACAGCCCAGCCCAGCCCAGTGCATGCATGACAGGCGACCTTAACAGCGAACTGGCATCACTCAGTGGCTTCCCAGCTATTTCTGTTGCACAAAACCCATGCAATTGAGATTGGAATTGGGTTTGGTAAACAACCCTTCTAAAAATTAAGTCTTTTCACTGAAAACATCTTCGTATAAATTTGGTTCCGATAACCATTTAGACATGGGGATTAATAGCTCACAGACGCAAACATGCTCTCACCAGCTTTTGTGGGTTTGGGTTCCAGGGAGTGAGGGTGGAGCCAAGTCTATCTGTCTGCAGCTTTAGGCTGCCTGAGATGGTTGCAAACTTATTTTTTTTTTTTTTTGCTCGTCAGCATGCCATAACCTGCATTCCAAGCTTTTAAGTTATGTACAAAAAGTCATTCCTATATCCACCAAAAAATGAAAAGAAAATTGATGTCAAATATCCAATGCATGAAATCTGATGTTTTTCACACCACTAATTTACAAGAAACTTGAGTAACAGCAACAAAACAGCATGAAATAACATTCGCCCTTACAGGAAAAGATGAAAATACTATGCTTACTTTTGTTTTCAGAAACTGCCAAACTATTTTTAATTATTGTACATTTTAATGAGTATATGTATTTTATGAATATATAGATTTAAAAAAAAACAGGCACGTAACTTGAAAGATAGTTCACCAAAACAGAGATATATGGATAACTAATGGGAACATCAAAAGATATCCAGTATCATTAATCAACAAGAAAATTCAAAACCTTAATATGGTCATGATAAATACCCCTGAAGTGGCTGTAATAAAAAAAGGTGAGCAACACCAAGTTCTGGTGAGGATGTAGAAAAACTTAGACTTAAGACGTTTGGTGACTGATGGGTCTGCCCAGGGCTCCAGTTTTAAGCTTGCTTGCTGCAGGGTCCCTCTGTCTGTACAGATTAGTTGCCACTTAGGGATTTGGGTCAAGGTTGTTAAAGTCTTTCACTGCTTTGTGTAACTATTTCTGTAAACTGAAACACACGCTTTTGGAGAGAAGAAGAGGGAGGCTTGTAAGACCATGGAAATAACCAAATTTATCAGCTCACGAAGACCCCAAGGTTATCTAAACTGTAAGCAATTGCTGACTGAGACTTTGCTCAACGAAGCTGCCTGCAAGCTGCTTATTTTGCAACTTCTCTTTAGGCAGACTTTTCTGTGACAAAGTTGCCTTCCAGTCACCACGCTCTCATAAATAACCGTTCACCCATGTCCCACATACGAGTTCTTTACCTGTTACTGTGATGAAAAACCTGACAAAGACTGTTCTGGTGCTTTGAACGTAATTGACTCCCCCCAGGCTCATAGGGAGTGTTGCTACTAGGAGGTGCGATCTTGTTGGAATAGGTGTGGCCTTGCCAGAGGAAGTGCATCACTAGGGGTGGGCTGTGAAGCTTCAAATGCTCAAGCCAGGGCCACTGTCACTCTCCCTTCCTTCTGCTTGAGCATTCTGATGTAGAACTCATAGCTCCTTCCTCCACAGCTGCCTGTGTGACACCATGCTTCTTGCCATAATGATAATGAACTAAACCTCTGGACTGTCAGCCAGATCCAATTACATGTTTTCCTTATAACAGTTGCCATGGTCATGGTGTCTCTTGAAAGCAATAGAAACCCTAACTAAGACAGCAATTTGTGGAAAGAAGGGTTTATTTTGGATCACTGTTTAAGAGTAAACATCATCACAGTGGTGGAACCTTGCAGTCACTGGTTATATTGCATTTTCAGTCAAGAATCAGGGAGGGATGAGTGGCTGATACTTAGCTGACTTCATTTCATGCACCCCGAGTCCCCAGACATGGAAAGGTACTACCCACACTTACGATTGGTCTTTTAATCTCAATACACTTAATCTAGATAATCTCATGTCCAGAGACACACCCAGAAGGTTGTCTTTTATTAATTCTAGATCTTACCAAATTGATAATCAGTATTAGCCATCACAAACTCCAATAAATTTGTTGGTTCACCAAACTAGACTTGGGTGGAATGATTTTCTTTTTTGGTCTGTTGTCAGTGCTGTATCTGGTACACAGTGTTTGTTCACATCTCCCCAGGAAAAGCCATGCAACACACTCTGTGTTGACTCGTCCATGTGTGAGTTGGGATATTGACAGCCAGGTCTCTAGTCTCTGTGACTTTCCGGGGTCTCCCTTACACATACACGTTTTCCAGCCATCAAGGAACACACAGAAAGTTTATTCCAGCTTTTCTATGGTCTTCTTACTGCCAGGATGTTGCTCATTAAATTTACTCCTGATGCATCACAAACCTAGGGTTGCAGCCTTGGCATTGCAAGCTGTAGTGGCTTCTTTCCATTTAATTCTTAGAGAATTCATCACTTTAAGCTAGGTTTTGTTCCTTCATCCATCCTCTAGCTACAAGGATGATTTGAACTGTGTTTCTCTGACCTTGAAGCTTCTGGTTTACAACTTTCCTAGCATTGGTAAGACTGCAATTTGTACTAACCAAGTTGGATCAAGAATGAGAGAGCCTCAGGCAAGAAGATCATATGCTCCATCTTTATTGTCTAAAGTTCCAACAAACTTTTAAGAATAAATACTTCCCAATTCATCATATTTCTTTAATTGCTTTGCAGATCCCTGAAAGGCTGAATAGTTTGCTTTTTGTCCTATATTACCCTTATTTTTAAGAACTGTATTCTTTATCAAAATGTCCTTCAGTTATCTTCTTTGATACACAAAAGTCTTAATCTTTAACATAGACAGGTTTATCACTCTGCTCTGTGGCTGTGATTCGGATGCTTGTATTCCATCCAGATTTATGTTGAGATACTCTGGCACAATCTTAATGTGGGGTATATCCCTTGGGAGGTAGCTGGGTCATGAGGGCTCCATCCTCATGAATGGAATTAGACATCTTAATTAAATGACTCAAAGATGGAGTTCACTGTTTTGTGATTCTGTTCCTGATGTGCAGATACAGCATTCTCCCCTCTGAGAACACAAGGAACCCGGCTGTAAGCAGAGGCCCTGGACCTTCTTCCCAGCTCATGCTCACCTGGACCTTCTAGTCTCCAGTACATTTCAACTTCCAGAATAGTGATGCCATCCTTGTTCATTACTCAAAGAGGGATCCTCAGGCTCTATATTAGGTAGGAACTGTGAAAATGAGACATACACTGAGGATAGCAAAAACGGAGACATGTAGGTGCTATTCAGATTTTAGAAGCAAGACTTGAGTGTGTGTCACTGCTAACTAAATGAGGTGAAAGGGGGTCTAGAACATTCTAAGGTCAAGGCTAATAATGAACACATTAAGCTCTGTCTAGATATGTATTTGAGATATTGAAATTGATAGTAGAACTTAGTAGTAGGCCATTAGTTTTGATCTAGAAGTGAAGATGTTGCAACTAGAGATATTATTGCGAGGCTCGCTTGCTCATGAACTCGATAGGCTGGTAAGAGGATTATCTGACTTGGGTACACAGGGAAGATGACAAAGGGTGCACTTGGAGGATAGAGGAGGACAGGATAGAGGAGGTGGGCAAGAAGCGAGAAGGAAGTAGCTCAGTTGTCTGAACTGAGTCTCGTAGTAAGTGGTAAGAGCAAGGAGGTTTGGTACTTCCACAGTCATATGCTGGAGACGAGGATAATGGCACCTCTCAAAAACTGCTAAGAAGAAACACCCTTAAAACTTGGCTTCCTAAGGACCAGACAAGTACACCCCATCTCCACATCAAAGACAACTAGATATATTTGATTACTGTGCTGGTTAGTGTTTTAAATTTTTTTTCTCTTATTTGACATACTTAGGAATGTCTAGAATAAGGAAATGCTGATTGGGAAAACTCTTCCACCAAATCAGCTTGCGGGCAAGTCTGTGGGGTCATTTTCTAATTAATGATTGATGTGAGTGAGCCCAGCCCACTGTGGGTGGTAGCAACCCTGAGGAGGTATACCTGGGTCGCCTAAGAAAGCCACTGATCAAGCATACCATGGTGAGCGAACCAGTAAGCAGCACTTACCTCCGTTCTTTCTGCATCTATTGCTTCTTGCCTTTAGGTTCTAGGCCTCCACTGTTCCTTTTCCCTCCATGAAGGCTGTGAGCTGTAAGGTGAAGCAAACCCCTTTCTCTTCAAGTTGGTTTTGGTCACGGTATTTATCCAGCAGGAGAAAAGTGACTAGTAATACCCATATCTACTGACCTCAAGTCTGTCTATCTTTTCAGTTATTAGTCACTGTGAAAAATCAACACAGGTGTGACTTTGAATTCAGATTAAAAAGAAATAAAACGGGGTGTCTACTTCCCACAGGGATTCTGTAGGTCAAGGCCTTTTAGCCCTACCCTATATTAAGTAGGTGATACTCTGTGTATCTCCTCTGCTGCGATCCTTGACATCAGCACATCCTGCGGTACACCAATCAGTGAATACAGACAGATGAAATCCCAGAGCTCGGAGAGATGGTAAAATGCATTCTCTCACTTCACAGAAGGGAACAAACAGGATCAGAGAGGTGTAGTGGCCTGACCCAAGTCACCTGGTGCAGTAGAGGTGGGGATGGGACCAGAAGTTCTGACTTAGAGCTTTCGTGACTTAGAGCCTTGCGTGGATCAGCAGGTCACTCTCGCCCACGACAGCGCTCTCTTTTACTGAGGCACTAGCACGTTCATTTCCTTCATGACTGTTTTCTTAGCTATGAACCCGTCCTTTACCCAAATGGTAATTACAGGTGCTGTAAATACACTATGATTGTATCTTCATTTATTTTAAAGTTGCTTTCTTCATGTTAAAAAATATGATTGGCCGTATTGAGGGCTGATAAATGGAGAGAGAGTAAAATCGACATGCCATTATTCTGCAGCAGAAGTGTCAGGGGAGGCAGCATCAATTAATTTGTCGATAGAATTTGCTGGAAGAGTCTTGCAGTCTGGGTGTCCAATGCCTGTGATGGGTCTTCTCTGAAACACGATTTGTATTCTTAAAGGTATTTACTCTAACATTGGTGTAGTCCATTGTATTTACAAAACTGGATGCTCTTATTCCATTTTCTTTCATTCAACAATATAACTGGGTGCTACTGTGTGCCAGTCTGTAGGACCTATGACAGTGGGCAAGACACATACACCCTTGTCTTCTGTAGCACATACATTTGCTCCAGACAATAAACATGCAAATTAATATATGGTATGTTTTTCAGATGGTAACAAAAGCAGTAAGATAGAGAATGGCCAAAGGAGGGTGTAGCCCACATTCTAATTGGTCTTAATAAGAAAAATTCAGAGTCAGATAGCAGGGGGTGAGGCTGAAGGATCAGAGAAGCACTGTGGCCAGCCACTAGAGAGTTCTCACCTCTACCAATGCTCAGACAGGAAGGGCGAGACTGTCCTCAGACTGACTGCCTCAGGCTGCACCTGAGTGAGTTCCTGTCTCCTTCTGCCCTATATTCTTCTCTTTGTCCAGCCATATCACTCCTGTCTCCACCTCCCTAGTGCTGCGAATAAAGGCATGTAATCCCAAGTGCTAGGAGCACCTTTGTGTGAGTTCTGTTTCTCTTTTAGAAAGATTCAATGTTGCGCAGCCCAGGGTGGCCTTGAACTACAGAATTCCCTCCGCCTCTGTCTCCTGAGTCCTGGGATTAAAGGTGTGTGCCACCACTCCCCGTTCTCTAGTGGATTAGCTCTGTACTGGGATCTTCAGGCAAGCTTTATTTGTTAAGACACAAACAAAATCTCACTCCAGGAGGGATGAGTCTCTATTTTCCAGATAGGCCAGGAATAGCCCCTATTGCAGGTCACGTTCACTGGGCCTCTGACTCAGATTGTGATTAGCAAAGAAAGGTTCTGGTGGAGCCTTTTCAGGATTAGGGTGTTTAGTGAGTATAGAGGATTCCAGAAGGCAGAAAGAGATGCGGGGTCATTATGTATCCATTGAAAAGCTAAAGAGAGTTGGGGAACCTACAGCAAATCATGAATAGAGCTGGAGGCCAATGCTAGTTAGACTCTCTCATTGTCAGTATTATATTAATCTGTAGGCCATGTGTGTGTGTGTGTGTATGTGTGTGTGTGTGTGTGACCTTTAGCTGAGCACAATATAATGGTGGCCCAGCTATGAAGGAAGAAGACTTCAATACTGAAAAGGGGACCTTCCAAGTGTCTTACTACCACCTCTCTGAGCAAGATAAGAGATGAAATATGAGACTGGAGAAAATGATCTCACCTAGTCTTGGGGGTCAAGATTTTCATTGCCTGTCCATCAAAATCTCAGCAAAATTCTTCACAGACCTCAAAAGAACAATGATCAACTTTATATGGAAAAGCAAAAAAACCCAGGATAGTAAAAACAATTCCTTACAATAAAGGAACTTCTGGAGGCATCACAATCCCTGATTTCAAACTCTGCTACAGAGCTACAGTACTGAAAACAGCCTGGTGTTGGCATAAGAACAGAGAGGAGGACCAATGGAACCTAATTGAAGACCCAGATATCAATCCACATACCTAAAAACACCTGATTTTTGACAAAAAAGCAAAAGATATAAAATGGAATGAAGAAAACATATTCAACAAATGGTGCTGGCATAACTGGATATCAACATGTAGAAGAATGAAAACAGACCCCTATCTGTCGCCATGCACAAAACTCAAGTCCTGATGGATCAAAGACCTCAACATAAAGCCAGCCACACTGAACCTCACAGAAGAGAAAGTGGAAAGAAAGTATACTTGAATGCATTGGCACAGGAGAACACTTCCTAAATATAACCCCAACAGCACAGACACTGAGAGAAACAATTAATAAATGGGACCTCCTGAAACTGAGAAGCTTCTGTAAAGCAAAGGACATGGTCAATAAGACAAAATAGCAGCCTACAGATGGGAACAGAATATTCACCAACCCCACATCAGGCAAGCTAATCTCCAAAATATACAAAGAACTCAAGAAATTGGTCATCAAAAGAAAAATAAACCAATAAAAAAAATGGAGTACAGACATAAACAGAAAACTCTCAACAGAAAAATCTAAAATGGCTGAAAGACACTTAAGGAAACACTCAGCATCCTTAGCCATCAGAGAAATGCAAATCAAAACAACCCTGAGATTTCATCTTTCACCTATAAGAATGTCTAAGATCAAAAACACTAATGACAAATTATGTTGGAGAGGTTATGGGGTAAAGGGAACACTCCTGCATTGCTGGTGGGAATGCAAGCTGGTACAGTTCCTTTGGATATTAGTGTGGTGATTTCTCAGGAAATTAGAAAACAACCTTCCTCAAGACCCAGCAATACCACTTTTGGGTATATACCCAAAGGATGCTCAATTGTACCACAAGGACATGTGTTCAACTATGTTCATAGCAGCATTGTTTGTCATAGCCAGAACCTGGAAACAGCCTAAATGCCCCTCGACTGAAGAATGGATAAGAAAAATGTGGTCCATTTACACAATGGAGTACTACACAGCATAAAAAAATAATAACATTTTGAAAATTGCGGGCTAATGGATGGATCTAGAAAACATCGTATTGGGTGAGGTGACCCAGACACAGAAAGACCAATATAATATGTACTCACTCTTAAGTGACTTTTAGACATAAAGCACAGAAAACCCAGCCTACAAACACAATCCCAGAGAACCTAGACATTAATGAGAACCCTACCTAAGAGAAACATACACGGATCTAATCTATATGGGAAGTAGAAAAAAAAAACAAGATCTCCTGAGTAAATTGGGAGCATGGGGACCAGGGGTGAAGGTAGAAGGGGAAGGGAGAGGAAAAGAGGGGAGCAGAGAAAAATATATAGCTCAATAAAAGCAATAATAAAAAAAGATTTTCATTGCCAGTTAATATCCCTGTTTATCTCCCAGGAGCTCAATGAGATGAAGTGGCCTTCCCCACAAGTGACCTGGTTACCAAAATGCAGCTTTGGTGTCTTCTATTGCCAACATGACCTAGACCTGGATATATCTTGTTCCTCTGATGCCTGTGTGTGTGAAAGTGTCCAGGACATGCACTTCTATAAACGCTTTCACAAATTTTCTGCTCACAAAGTCTGGAGTAATGGTCTTGCATTTCAGGGTCCAGTTTAGGGACAAAAGTACCCCATCAGCCCATGCTTGCATCTTTGCTCATCTAAATGGTTAAATAT